ATGGATAGGACAAAAATAGAAACTGGTGATTCTTTCCGGCCTCTCCATATATAAGAATAAATCTAGTTTTTAAAGGAGTTACAGAGCAAAGAAAATTTCATTGAATGCTCCAATGGCTACCTAATTCAGTCAGCCTTTGACTCAAAATAATCTGAAATATATCGTGCCTCTGGCTAGCAAAAAGGCTACAAGTTGGATACTTAAAACAGATCTTTATCAGGGGTGCCTGGGTGGTTCAGTCCGTGAAGAGTGTGACTCTTGGTTTCAGTTCTGGTCATGATCTCATGGTTGTGAGATCGAGCTCTGCACTGAGCGTGAAGCCTGCTTAAGAGTCTCTCTCTCCATCTCCCTCTGCCCCTCTCCAACTCACCTGTGAGCACACAAGCACATGTTCCCTCTCTCTAAAAAAAACAAAACAAAAACAAAAACAAAACCAGATCTTCATCAAAGTGTATTCACATAAGATGGCACCTAGTTTAAATAAGGCAAAATTATATTTTTTCTATCATTTATGTGCTGTTAAACAGTTTTAAAATCTGAATTATTAATTGAAACCTGTGAACTAGTATCATTTTGGAATGACTATGTTTTGATAGCTAACAGGACTTGTTTGACTTTTGACAGATGTTGATTTCCTTTCATGTCAACTATTAGATACCCCATTGTAATCATAAAAGGCATGAAGAAATTATGTTACAAGCGGATCCTATATAAGTGGAAATGAACACAGAATATATTAAAATATCAGCCATCTTATCAACAATGTGTTATAATGGCTTCTGATTAATACTGAGAACATGATTGATGTTACTGGGGGTATGACACACTAACAATGTGACATTGAGAAAATTCAATCCAAAGCTTGTTAATTTCATAGAATCATTCAAATTCTCATTACTCCTTCATGACAGTTTTTTGTTTTTGTGACCATTAAAAAATAATGACAATTTAATGGGACCTTTCAATAATGATAGTAGGAAACACATTTTTTTCAAATGCTCATCTGTTGTTACAACAAGAAATAGAAACAGTGGATACAATATATTGATTTTTGGTTTTAAAAAGAGTTTGTTAACTTGATTCTTATTGAGTCACTTTTAAAATTATGCAAACGCAAGTCATAAAGAACTTCCAAGTCAAAGCAGTAGTTCACGTCAATGGTACCAACATATGTAGGTTGATTTAGCTTTTTCAAGGCCAAAGAAAAAAAAAAGCACATTTTTGATTAAAAATCCTCTCTAAGAAACAGACAAGGCATGCCAGGTCTTGAATTAGTGTAAAGCGAATGGCTGCTAATCAAGAGCAGGTGGGGGAAGAAAAGGGGGTAGAGCTGGGGATAAGTAGAGTTTATATTGGCCAAATATTTGTATTATTAAAAGTCGAGTGTATATAAGAATTACTAAATTTATATATCAGACCTCTTACTTTTCATGGATACAGAGCAAACATATGAAAAATAATCTTTGGGAAATAACTGAACAGCAAGGATGCTTCAAATTGAAACATTCACCTACAAAAAATTTTATTGGAACCAAAATATGCTATTTGACTTGTGTTTGCAAATTCATTCATCTTTACTTTGTATCAGGAAGATGAAAATATAGTGTCATGACTTGATCAGTTGGTATGTCATAATCACAATAATTACTACATATTGATTATTTCCTCTATAACACACTGTAGTTTAGATACTTTAAATTGATTATTTTATTTAATCCCTACCGCAACCCTGATAAGTAGGTTTATGTATTGCATTTTTTCCCTTCCTCAATGATTTATCCAACACTGTCCCATCCATTTCACTGAGAAATTTGAAACCACCATGAAAAATGTTCTCATCTAACCAGCAAATAACCCTACTGTCTATCTTATATCAGTAATTAATATCTTTTTTTTTTTTCTTGATACCCCTTTCTTAAAAAGGTCAGTGCTTCCACAGGAGCTCTGATTACCACTTTTCTGACTTTTCAAGAACGTCACCCTAATCTGTGTCTTAGAATCAGCAATCTCTTTATCTAATTGTTTATATCCATATAGTACCACTGCCCTCCAAACTCCTCCCTGTTCTCGAAATCTTACCTCTCATTCATAGCCAACTCTAAAGAGTTTACACACCTGTGATCCCCATATTCTTATCTACTACCTACTATTCACCCCTCAATCCACTTTAGCCTCTTCTCCATAATTTTACTTACATTTCTCCTGTCAGGATTACGTATGACCTTCATGTTGCCTAATACATTTTTCTGTCCGCATCTTATTCCATGTCTTAGATGTTGCTTTCTACCTTTTTTCCCTTTTTCTGTCTCCCTCTCTCCTTCCCTCTTTCCCTCCCCTTCCTTCCTTCTTTCCTTTCTCTATAGTTCTCTACTCTACCTGTAAATATTGGAGATTTTTAGAGTTTGATTCTAGATGACTATCTACCAAATTGTTCTTGCCAAAAATTTGAGAGTCATCCCATGGGGATTACGTGCATTCCTATGGCTTTAAATGCTATATATATGCTCTTAAATTTCATTCTCATAAATCTGGACCTTGCCTCACCTGTGAATTCAGGGCTCATATGTCTTATAGCTTACATGACATTGTCATTTAGATAACTCATGGATAAGACACACACAATAATCAAAATAGAAGTCTTCAATCTCTCTAAATCACACCACAAATTAATTTCAATTATACTACAGTGAAGTTGTTAAGCAAAAAAGGCACACACAATTTATAATCTTTATATTTTTAAAGATAAAGAGAGCTGTAGGTAAAGATCTAATAATCTCCACTTCCATATCTTTCATTCACGTCCTTGAGATAACCAAGGTGAATAATAAAAATATATATATTCTATAATTTTCTCTATACCAATTAAAAGAGATGCTCATATTTAGGTTTTTACTTCATTCTTTCACAGTGGGATAGGTCATAGCAATATTTAGCACTTTTTTAACTTAATAGTCTAACTCACTTTCCAAGAACTTTCCACATGAGTCCTTTATATATAATAAATTCTTTCTAATCATGGATGGCATTCCATTCTATGACCTTGTGGATATTTTTCACCTTTTGCACTGATTTATTATTCAGTTGTTTCTTGGTGTTCCCTTTTTACTTTTAATATAATTCCATTATAATATAATAGCCCCAAATGTCCTGATTACTGCAGTTTCTCATTGACCCCTGCCCACTATGTGCCCATGAATAGTGCTTTCTTTCAATATTATGAAAATTCCCTGCTGTTATCTACATCTAGGTTTTTAAACATGTTTTTCTTTCTGCAAGGAATATTTTCCCTTCTCCATATCACCATTGCATGGCTGTCTCTCATCCATAACATCTGTATCCTGTTCTTTTCACTTACAAGATAGGTCAGTTAGATAAAAGGTTAAGCTCCTGGGGTGCCTGGGTGGCTCAGTCGGTTAAGCGTCCAACTTCTGCTTAGGTCATGATCTCATGATCCATGAGTTTGAGCCCTGCATCGGGCTCTGTGCTGACAGCTCAGAGCCTGGAACCTGCTTAGGATTCTGATCTGCCTCTCTCTGCCCCTCCCCTGTTGGCGTTTTGTCTCTCTCTCTCCATCTCAAAAATAAACATTAAAAATTTAAAAAAAGAAAAACAGGGTTAAACTGCTATAATACAGAGACCTCAAAATAAATGCCTCAAACAATATAGGAGTTTATTTATCTTTTCTATGATGATCCAGAGTGGATGTTCCAGATCACCTGTGGTTGTACTCCATGCAATCACTCAAGTACCCGGGTTAATGGTGGCTCTTTCAACTTGACCAGGATCTTTCCTGTCATTGGCAATCTAGATGCTGAAGGTATGGGTGGAGAACATACAACTGTGGACATTTCCTTTCACACATAATAGATAGAAGTTTCACTCGTTTCTCCTTACCGTATGAAGTGCGAAGATGTCTGTGAAACGTAGCCTCTGGTTGGAAAAGTGTATTTGATCTACAAATCTATTATTATGGAAGAAGGGAGCATATATCATTTTTGTAGACAACCAGCAGCCTCCACACCCTAATAATTATCACAATTTGTAAAATATACATTTGTTGCTTTGTTTTTTAACTTGTATTCTAGTTTTCCTCTTAGATAACAAGCACAATAAGGGCAATGTACATGCCTGATTCATTTACCAATACATATTCTCTCCTTAATACGCTTCCTGCATTTGAGTAGGGATTCAATACAAATTTGTTAAAAGACTAAATGAATGTATAAAAGAATTTTACAGGTGAAAAAACCTAAGGTTCAGAGAAGTTCAACAATTTACTCATTCCTGGATCCTGAATGACCATTTTCCAGGAATGTTGAAAGATTTGTACCTCCTGTGGATGGCTTAACAAGATAACTAGTTAGCTTTCTTCTAACAGTGAATTTATATGATTGTTTTATGGTGTATGGATATTACAACACTCCAAACAAGATCATGATGCTACTTTTTGAAGGAATAGAACAAGAAAATGAGAAAATATGCCTTCTTTCTCATTGGTTCAGTCACATTGAACTCTTTCCCTTACTCTATTCCATCCTAAGTTCTCACAGACTTCATGTGCACATCAAATACCAACCATTAATCTAAGATGCTAGAAGATTACAGCAAACTTGCTGCGTATACACTTTTTTTTTTTTTTTTTAATCACACCTTCCCTGGGCAAAGAAAGTAAATATGTGCTGGATTTTAAAGATTTTCTGCTCGGCTAAAGGCTGCCTGGGAGAATAAAAGTAAACAGATAGTAGGTATTGTTAATAAATGTTTTCATCACATACTCTGATTATATGAAAAAGGAAGAAGAGAAGAAAGAAGAAAAAAGAAGGAAAAAAGAGATTTTTAGAGATAAAAATCAGTGTAGATAAATTGATCATCAACTAAATCTTCTGGTCAGCCAAGTATGGGTGTCCATTACTGTTAAGAATAAAAATAAGTTTGAGATTCTTCTTTAATGTGTTTGTTACTGCAAGATGATTCTAAAGCTGTTTTGTTTGTTTTCCAAGATATTGAAGACTTTGAAACCAAAACAAGAAGCACAGTGTCCGTCCGAGAAGGTCAAGGTGTGGTGCTTCTCTGTGGCCCACCACCACACTTTGGAGGTATGGTGGGGGGTACTTTGGGTCACACCATTAATGTGGTCTCTTGATGAGTAAAGAAGGTAAAGAAGGCACATCTTGAAGTCAAAGATAGCTCTTCATCAGATCAAAAGGAACTTCAAGTCCCTTCAAGTTCATCCTATCGCATCTGAACAGTTCCATTGTAAATCATTTTTAAAAGAATTTTTTTCATGCAGTCACTCGAGTGAAAATGAGTACCTGAGTACCAAGTAAAAATGACCCCTGATGCAATCTGATGCTTGTCACCCTGAATGTCAGGAGACAATTTGTTTAACCTCCTTTGGCTCAGTTTCCTCCTCTGTAGAATTGAGACACAAACTGATAATCTGTATTACAGTGCTGTTGTGAATGTTGAGTGAGCTAATGAATGCAAATTGATGAGTGTAATGGCTAGTACTTATTCAGAAAAGAAAGCTGAGATTGTTATTTCATTGTTACTATGGACATGCATGGAAAAGCAAATTCCAACATTCCTCTTGGGAATCTCACCTTAACTATTGTGAGAGGAGAGTTACCACATTAATTACAAGCAAATTTTGGATGGCACCAAATCAGAGTATCTTCTAGCAATGGTGAAAACATGCACTCGACACCATTCTCTAGTTTGTAAGAATCTGGACTGATCCATGAATTGACCTGTTTGTTGCCAAGGACCTAAACCATCTACTCATTCGCACCCCCTCAGGGTTGCATTTGGTCAAATGATTTGGTAAAATATGGTGGATTCTTAACCAACAGTGAATCTGGAAGAAGCAGCATCAAAATATCCATGGAGTCATTTGATTTGGTTCAATTCAGTATCATACTGACTATATTATAGTTAGCTTAATAATAATAGCAAATACTTATACAGCATAGCTCTAAGTACTTTACATGTGTTAACTTTTAAAATTCTCATAGCAGCTTCATGAAAGAAATACTATGATTATTGTTTCACAGATGAGAACAATAAGGTAGAGAGAGGTTAAGTAACTAGTCTATGGTAACATAGCTGATAGGTCCTGGAGCCGAGCTCCAAATCCAGCCAGAGTGGCTCCTAGAGCAGCCCTTTTGTAGTTTAGTCCCACTCTGGAATGGGAGAATTTTGAAAACAGATAGAACAAATATTTAAAAATAAAATGAAAGCTATTTTACCCCTAATATTAAACAAAATATTATTTATGATCTTTTAAAACCTGAAAACATTTTTCCATTTGTTTCATTTTTACACAGTTACATGAAATGCTGATGCAAAAAAAAAAAGAAACTGATTAGAAGTTAACAATATTTTATTCAAAAATATTACACAGTAGTATAACATTATGCTCACCTAAAATATTGGGGGAGAGTTATACTGTTTTCAATGCTATCTGAGGTAAAATAGTATTATTCTGCAGCATTGAAAAAATATAATGCCGCTTATTTTTTAACCATAGGGAAATTATTTTTTAGTGGTATAACCTAAGATGACAAGACAGGCAAAATCATGCCTGTTTTGTGCTGTCAGTCTATGTCAGTCTATGTCATTTTATGCTCTGACTTTGGTCAAAGAATCTTGTCAGAATTGAAGATTATTTTCAACTTTGTTTACCCTGAATGAAGGTAGCAGAAATGTCAAATATTTGTAAATGAATGTCATATATTTTTAAAAGGCAGCCAGATAGGAAAAGCTTTCCCTATGACCTTGTTACCTACCACCATTAAAGTATGTGTTGATCATCTAAAGCATGTAAGACCCTTATTGAAACAGTTCTCTCTGCTTAATGCCATGAGATTAAGTCATAGACAAAAACTGCCTTCCATTAAGACCTTTTTAAGTGAATAACTAATGGCTATTGCATGCAAGTTATGACAAATTTGTCGGATACCAAATTTGATTATATCATATGTTTTTAGCAGGATTCCAAGGTATTTGTCAATATTGACTTCATCCGGCTACAATGTAGGAATTTTCATCCTGAGAGCTCCTGGGGTTGTGCATGCTTCCTCATCTCTACAAAGGCAGAAATACTGGAATACTTTTCTTCTGTTCTTTATAGTTCTCCCAATCAAAACTGAGGGGAATATTGACAGACACCCTTTGATCCAACTATACAAAGAGTCATCAATTCATTAGAAGAGGAAAGTATTAATAATAGTAACAATGACTACCAATTATTGACTTGATATCATGAGCAAAAAGGACTTTGCATGATTTTCTCATTCCCAGGATTCTGATCATTAAGAATAATCATTTTTAAATGAGGAAACCAAGACTCAGATAAACTAAGTAAATCAGTTTTCAGTTAGTAAATGAAGACAAGATTCTAGTAGAGGAATTTCTGACTTCCAAAAAAAAAAAATTGCCTTTGGATAGAAAGCTCTGTAGTTAATGGTTAAACCTCAGATTGTGTATCAGTTTCAACACTCTTATACCTCCAGGTTTGCTAAGAGTTTTAAGAGTGTCTTTAACTGGCTCATTTGAAACAATTCTTTATTCTTCCTTTTCCTTTCTCACCTTCCTGTGAAGGTGAATTGTGCCAAGAAAGACTTCAAGAATGTAGAGAAACATATTGGTTGGATAACCTTCAAATTGATTTAGTGGACAGCTGGTTTAAAATGAGCCAATTTTACACATAGACATTTTTGTCTTTGTAATTTTTCTCTGGTTTAGGATGTATATATGTGTGTATATATATGTAGCTTCAAGCAACACCCAATTATTAGTTCACAGTTCTATATGTCAGAAGCCAAAGGATGATGTGGCTGGTGTCTCTACTCAGATTCTTACAAGGACAAAATCAAAGTCATGACCAGATGGCATTCTTTTCTGACAAGTCTGAGGAAGGCTCGGTTTCCAGGCTTACTCAAGTTGTTAGCTGAACTGGGTTCCTCGCCATTGTGGAACTCAGGTTTACCCCAGTTCCTTTCTGGCCAGATGTCAAGGGCCACTGTCATCTTCTAGAGGATGCCCGCACTTCTTGCCACATGTTTTCTTCCATCTTCAGAGCCAACAGCAAAGAATACCCCTCACATCCATTCGTTCTAATAGTTCAAATCTCTCTAGCCAAGATAAGGGAGAAATTATCTTAAACGTGATGTTATCAGTACATTCTGAGTTATATATATTTTTTCTCTAGTGTATTCACAAAACAAAACAAAACAAACAAAAAAAAAACTTGGAAAACATTTGTTAAATAAGGCAGGCCTGGGGCGCCTGGGTGGCTCAGTTGGTTAAGCGTCCGACTTCAACTCAGGTCATGATCTCGCGGTGTGTGAGTTTGAGCCCCACGTCGGGCTCTGTGCTGACAGCTCAGAGCCTGGACCCTGCTTTGGATTCTGTGTCTCCCTCTCCCTCCGGCCCTCCCCTGCTCACTCTCTGACTCTCTCTTTCAATAATAAATATTAAAAAAAAATTTTAAAAACAAGGCAGGCCTATCAGATACATTGTAGTTTGTTTTATAAAACAAAAGCCAAAAACAAGAACGATGGGAGACTAAGAAAAATTATCAAATAGGTTGAATTCTATAAATTGACCTGGGGGAAGAAAATGGCTCCAGGAACAAAACAAAAGGAAAAAGTGTGTAGATGGATTTCCCATATAAATGATTAGTGATCACTCAGTGAAGTAGAGTAATCGGCATAAACCAAACTCAATAGGTGCTGTTTTATTGATGTCCTTTTTTTTCCCATATAGACCAAAGGAGACCTGACTTCAGAATAGGCTTTCTTGTGGATATTTCCTACCCAATTTTGAAGGTAACTGTGAGTGTGCTGTTCTTCTAGAAAGAGAGAATTTATAGATAAAGCTTATTTGAAAGGAAAGGGACCCATAGTGAAAGAGAAAGAAACCTAGGCAATAATGCCAGAACACAAAACTGGCACATTCTGCTTTATCTCTTAGAAATGTGATATTTGGACACAAAACAGGAACCATTCCCTATACTCTGAGGAGAGAAGTATATTTGCTTCCTTAATCCTATTTCTTAACTACAGATAAACTCCATGAATGTGACTGAATCTATGCCAATAGAGCCAGATTAAGCCCCCGTTTCCATCTTCCTAAAAAAATATAATTCTAGAATGTTACAGAGAAATATAAATTTTTCTGAAAGTTTTGCCTGAACACCACAGAGAGTGCTACAATGTTTATCTGGTTGAAACACTTTATACCCTATTAGACATTGTTTTCCTTTCTCCTAAACTCTCTCACTGGTGGTCTATGACTTCCCTCATCTCTACACAATCTCCAACAGTCCCTTCTATTGTCTATTATAGTTATTATCCATAATTTGGATACCCATGTCAGAAAAATACAAGTCTCAAAAGAAAAAAAAAAAAGAGAAAAGAAAGAAAGAAAAATACAAGTCTTCTAGTTAGCCTCTTGGTGCTTGGCAAAGCTAAAATTTACTAGTCAGCTAAAAAGACTTTTCCTTTCCTTTACTAGGTCTCTAGAGGATTCTATGATCTCTTCTCTGTATCCAGGTTTATGTGACAAAAGGAGGCAATACACTATTTATTTTGCTTATTCATTTGGGGGAGGGGTCACTGAGCCTTGAGATAGACTATGAACTTTGTTGCAGGGAAGTCTTTCTACTATGGGTTTTCACTCACCTCAAGGATGTACTTTTGCTTAAGAGCCTTGTCACTTTAATGGAGATTCTGCATAAGTCATTTGCAACATCACTGAACTCAAAATTATCTTGAACTTTTTGAATGGAGATGAAAAACTTGAAGCCTAAGCTGTTGGATGAATTTGAAAATAAACCATCAGTAGATCTTCATGGGTGCAGTGAGTTAACCCAGCTTCACATGAAGTTTTTTTTATTTAGAAAAAGAAAATTAATCTTTTATTTATTTTTGAGACACACACACACACACACACACACACACACACACACAGAATACAAGCAGGGGAGGTACAGAGAGAGAGGGAGACACAGAATTCAAAGCAGGTTTCAGGCTCCTCACTGTCAGCAAAAAGACCAATGCGGGGCTGGAACTCACAAACTGTGAGTTCATGA